GACCAGCCCCATCGTGCGATAGCGTCATCAGCGTTTGACCAGGGGCATCATGACGAAGCTTGACCAGCTGCTCTTTTAAAGCATATTACGCAGATTTGGCCTACCGGGCAATTGACTTCCAAAAGAGGCTGGTAAATAGAAGCAAAACACCCTACGTGGCCGACTTGCTCCTGATTCACCCCTAAGCCGAATATAGTTCCTCTAAAACGACCTTAATCGGCACGAAAATTTTGACAGGGTGCTCCTGATTCACCCCTAAGCCGAATATAGTTCCTCTAAAACGACCTTAATCGGCACGAAAATTTTGACAGGGTACGTTCACTTAGCGAGTTTTGAAAGTATGGCCCCTGGACACAAGCTTGTCCCGGGTCATACGTTTATTCCGGGACAAATTTTACCCCCTGTCCCGTTATTATTCCCGGTAATTTCTCGTCTCGTCCCGGTTAATTTCGAGAAAATTATTCCGAGACGCAGGAGTGTAATCTAGAGTAATGTGGATTTTTTATCGCGCTTCGCAACGCGTGTCTGCTTGACGCAGCTTCTAGCTGTACGCGCCTAATGTGACTACTCTTGTACAAATACATACATTCATGTAATATCTTTAAGTAGGTTTCATTGAAGACCAGAGAATTGGTTTTGTTGACAATTTTCTTATTAGTTTTTCCAGTATATCGAATAATATTTACAATTTACACTGGTAAATCGAAAATTAGGGTAGTGATGGACATTTTTATTTCGTTAATGAAAATGTAATATTGCAGCTACAGCAAGCGTCAGCGTGAACGCTTATCGTATAGCCGTAGCCTTAGCCAAGGGGTAGCGACTCCTAAGCAGGAGCTACAGGCTTTATTTGATTTTTTATTCTAATTAATAATATTAATGCAAACTTTTACTGTAGTTCAGTGAGGCCAGAATGATTTTTTATTCTAATTAATGATAGTAACGTAAACTTTTACTGTNCAGGTGAGTGCAGCAGCTGCCTTATAGTCACCCAGGACGACAGCACCGTGCAGCAGCTGCATCAGGTGAGTGCAGCAGCTGCATCAGGTGAGTGCAGCAGCTGCCTTATAGTCACCCAGGACGACAGCACCGTGCAGCAGCTGCATCAGGTGAGTGCAGCAGCTGCATCAGGTGAGTGCAGCAGCTGCCTTATAGTCACCCAGGACGACAGCACCGTGCAGCAGCTGCATCAGGTGAGTGCAGCAGCTGCATCAGGTGAGTGCAGCAGCTGCCTTATAGTCACCCAGGACGACAGCACCGTGCAGCAGCTGCACCAGGTGCGGCCTGCAGCTGCAGTAGTTAAGTCCTCGTGCAGCTGTCGTGTCCAGAACTCAGTCTCAGCTGCCAGTCCAGTCTTGCAACATATAACTAGAAATGAACTGTTGCCAGCTGCAGCATTTCAACAGTTTGCTGACGTGGTCTTTATAAATGTCTCAGAGGGGATGGTGGCTTTACAGACTATTTTACAAGTCCTCCATGCAGTAAATTATTTGTTTCTACTCACCGTAGGGCTAGAAATTAGTATTTGTTCAGTAGCATCAGGGTCGTCTAGCCCCGCGAGCTTTGATATGACTAACTACATATGAAGGAAGTCTTTCGTGATGACTGGTTAACATATTATTAATCCCAGAGCAAACTTACATTTCTCGACCGCAAACTTACATTTCTCGACCGCAAACTTACATTTCTCGACCGCAAACTTACATTTCTCGACCGCAAACTCGATGACGAACAAATGTGAGCAGTTGCATCAAAGTAGCGCACATACTGAGCCTTACTTAATAATAATAATATAATAAGGCTCAATTATATTATTTATTTATATATAATAATAATAATAATGTGTCGGTGCTGCAGGTTCTGGTGCACGGGTCAGAGATCGTACTGCAGAAAATTTTCTACCAGACCATCGGCGTGAAGATGAACCTCGTACCTCCGCCGCATCTCTTCGATCCTAAGGACGCAAAGAAGAAAACAAAAGGAAAAAGATTTAATAAGAGAAGAAAATTTTGTAATAACCCACAGGCTAATGTTAAACTGAAGACGCAAGTCCACGCCAGCAAAAAATGTGGTGAGGGCTTCATGTTTTCGTTGTAGGAAATGTTACTGTTGATAAGCATCTGTATTTTGCTGTAATATTTCCTTCAAATTCATCCTAAGCATTTCGCAATTAATTAGATCATAAGATCGCGTAATAAATAGCGGCAAGTATGTTGTGCAGTTGTGGAACACTGATACAGAATAATGCCAGGTATTTTACTAGGTTCATAAATTGCCATCGATTCGTTGAAAACATCTTCAATAAAATGACAATTTAAACAATTATATGCATATAATTATATTTGTTCAGACCAGCTTGTGAGGGCTGAAAGTGACTCGGAACCGGCGACTGCTTCACCGAAGATGCGCGCAGTCTGTGGTCCTGCAGCCTTGGCCACAGGCGACGCAGACTCTGCTGCCACTGGCGACAACAACACCGCTGCTGCAGGCGACAACACTGCTGCCACAGGCGACGGAAACTCTGCTGCCACAGGCGACAACGACTCTGTTGCCACAGGCAACGCAGACTCTGTTGCCACAGGCAACGCAGACCCTGCTGCTACAGGCGACAACAACAAAGCAGACCCTGCTGATACAGGCGACAACAACACCGCTGCCACAGGCAACGCAGACTCTGTGGCAGCTCAAGCTCAGACTGCTGCTACATCAGGTGCCGGTGCTGCTTCCCCTGCAGCAAGGCTAGACGAGACGATCACATTGACGCAAATTCAAGAAAAATACAAATTTGTGGGCGAGAGCAGCGATTCTGAGACAGACGAAGAGGAGAGCGAGGAGGACAGAGAAAACAGAAGAGAAATGAAGCGGAGAAGAAAAGAGGAAATGAAGAATCAACACGCTGAGAAGGAACGCAGGCGAAAATTGTTCACGTCGCCGATGATTATTGTGCAGTCGTTGAGAGTGAGTTGTCAGATGGTAATGACAGTTTATGGACAAGTTTTAGCTGAGTTGTAATCATGTAGAATAGAACGTTTAGAAGATTTTACTAAAACTGTCAGAAGGTTGGCTGATGTTAGAGACCAACAGAGCAAACCGTGCGACCATCTCTATGCGGTGTACCGTTAGTTTCATCGAGTTCCTTCCTGAAGACTCTGGCGTTGACAAACATTTTCAACATTTCCAGAAGTAGCTGTTATGTTATGACCTGTTCAGTCATGTTATGTATTTCCCAGCGTCTTGTGTTATGTTCAGTCATGTTATGTATTTCCCAACGTCTTGTGTTCTGTTATGTATTTTCCAAAGTCTGGTGAGTTATGTATTTCCCAACGTCTCCCCGTCAGGGGGGACTTCTGACGTGTGTCTGTGCGCGTCAGAAGTCCGATGGGATTTCGCCCTCCTAGGGGGATTGTTCCTGAGCGCCCCACCGCTGAGCTCGCGGTGTCTGACTGCAGGTCTCAATTGTGGGGTTAAGTTATTATGTAGGTAGGATACCTTACATTAAGTTATTATGTAGGTAGGATTCCTTACATTAAGTTACTAGTGCAATGTTCTAGTGGAGGTGAGCTTAACTAGTGCAATGTTCTAGTGTAGGCGAGCTTAACTAGTGCAATGTTCTAGTGTAGGCGAGCTTAACTAGTGCAATGTTCTAGTGTAGGCGAGCTTAACTAGTGCAATGTTCTAGTGTAAGCGTCCAATCGAAGTAATCTCAGAAAAGTACAATATCGAAGTTAAATTTTATTTTTACCGATTCCTGCGGCTCATAACATGATAAATAAGCAGAGGTTCAATCTATTACTCTGATTATTTCGTGGACGTTCTGTAGAAGTCTTTACAAGTCGTAAAATTTATTGATGATCAATTGAACCTTTATTGTCTATACATCATCATCTTTCAATTTATTTCTAAACTTCAGTATGTATTTTTCAACTTGCGAGGTCGTGTCATGAATGATGCTTGAATTAAAAGCCCTGCATTAGCAGTTTTCTATTCTTATCATCCCACGTGATTGATTTGATTGCAAGTTAACTAAAAATTATATAGCCAAGACATTGTTCTATTTATTATCTTATTTTATTTAAGATGACAAGAAAATATACCGTATTATTGTTGTAAATGTAATAATGACAAGCTCTATCTTCAGTTTAAATAACACTAATATATCCAATTCGCTTTGCGCTTTCAACTTCATTATTATTAATGTTGGATGGCGTCGAAGCATGCATATCAATGCATGCCATTAATATGCATGTCAATGCATGCATATCAATGCATGCCATTAATATGCATGTCAATGCATGCATATCAATGCATGCCATTAATATGCATGTCCAGCATGCATATTAATGCATGCCATTAATATGCATGTCAATGCATGCCATTAATATGCATGTCAATGCATGCCATAATGCATGTCCAGCATGCATATTAATTCATGCCATTAATATGCATGTCAATGCATGCCATAATGCATGTCCAGCATATTAACAAGAAGACCCTGGGCAGGTATGGCAGGCAGAGAGCGCCCCCCACAGGTGCCTGGTGTACCTGCTGGTGTACAAGGGCACCACGGAGGAGCAGCTCTACCTTACCTCCATCAAGAGGGAGAAGGACGCCTTCGAGTTCCTCATCAAGGAAAAAGCTGTGCGTGCTCTAGGGTCCGGTCAAGTAGTAGTAGTAGTAGTAGTAGTAGTAGTAGTATAAATGTTTGCTAGCACTTCATCTATCAAGCTATTTCGCACCGTAGGAGAAAATGTAAGCTTTGGTCTGAAAAGAATCCATTTGGTCAGGAAAAAGTTGTGCGTGCTCTAGGGTCTGGTCAAGAATCAATTTGGTCGCTGGGGAGATTAAATCTACGAGATAAGTTATATTTATGAATTGTGGACGCAGGATTATAGTAGGAGAGAGACTTGCATAGGAAAGAGCAAGCATTTCTCTGATCGTTTTATCTTCCGACCGTAACATGTAAATAATTGTATAATAGAGTTTTTTTGGTAGAGCTGAGGGATTGTGCAGACGCTGTCTGCAAGACGACTCATGCAGACGCTGCGGGATGGTGTGTGTAGCCCCGTGACTCTTGCAGACGCTGCGGGATGGTGTGTGTAGCCCCGTGACTCTTGCAGACGCTGCGGGATGGTGTGTGTAGCCCCGTGACTCTTGCAGACGTTGGTGTTCCCCGAGGACGCTGAGGGTCGCAGCGAGGAGCACCCTGACCTGCAGCGCGACCCTCGCAGCGCCGCAGAGAGGGCAGGGCTCGTCGCTCCCGCCGACACGCGCAGGGGCGGCCTCCAGCAGCAGCAGACTGACCAGGTGACGCTAATTACTCACGCATTTCACCGTAACTGATAATTACGGCGGTCATGTTGCGGCCAAGCTAGGAAGTAATTTGTGCAACAATAATCCAACGAAGAATTGAATATTTTTTTCACAAACTGTATGAGCTGGGCAGACGAGGTGGAGTTAAACATCATTTCTTGAAAGTGTGCTAGTCAAATATTCCGTTGTGCGCTGGCGATAAATTTATTTAGGTCTTCTCGTCCTTCCATTCTAATCAGAATAAATATTTAAGATATTGTCCATGTTTGAAGATGAGTTTGAAAGTTGCCCCGACGTTAACTGTTGCTCACTATAACTTGATCACACTTAAGCGTTGTGAAGCTTTTCCTCGAGCCATCGGGGTAACCACTTTTCTTCTATAAATAAATGAAATAAATGATGAGCTAACATGGAAGTGCGGCCGTCGCTATAAATAAATCAAATAAAAGATAATAAAATAAGTGCGGTCGTGGTGTTGCAGGAGTCGCGCGTCATCGTCGACATGCGCGAGTTTCGCTGCGAGCTTCCTTCCCTCATACACAAGCGGGGCATGGAGATAGAGCCTGTCACCATCGAGGTGAGTGTGCTTACATCATGTCACCATCGAGGTGAGGTCTGCTTACATCATGTCACCATCGAGGTGAGGTCTGCTTACATCATGTCACCATCGAGGTGAGGTTGGTTGTTATAGGGAGGCTGTATGATTTAGTCTCGGTAAAGCATGGCTCCCATTAACGTTGTTACTACTAACGGCGGTCGACCATGCCATCATGGTTAGTTGCGATGTCAAAGCTATACTCTCGGTTCCCATTGTAAAAATTGACACGCTACGGGCGTGTTATTTGCGATTTCAAATCTATACTCTCCGTTCCTATTGTAAAAATTGGCAATTATTGGCAGTTCCTTATTAACTGTCCACATGTTGCAGGTCGGCGACTACATCCTGAGCCCCGACATGTGCGTGGAGCGCAAGAGTCTGAGTGACCTCGTGGGCTCCCTGAACAGCGGGCGCCTGTACTCCCAGGCGCTGGCCATGACCAGGCACTACACCAAGCCGATGCTGCTTATTGAGTTTGATCAGAACAAACCTTTCCATCTCCAGGTGCTTTATCTTGCTGCCTTCTTCCTTATCTTGCTGCCTTCATCATAATCTTGCTGCCTTCATACTTATCTTGCTGCCTTCATCCTTATCTTGCTACCTTCGTTCTTATCTTGATCTCTTGCTTCTTATCTTGCTCGTTTTCTTGCTGCTTCAACATTGCCACTTATAAATTACGCTTGTCTGACATCAGAAAACGCGATTTTTAATGTCACATCAACTTAGTCTCTCCGCCTGCTTTCATTATTTCCTTGTCAGTTTAAATACTAGTATATTGGTCACAGCTGAACATCACACTAATCATGCCGCAGGCGAGCATCACACTAATCATGTCACAGGCGAGCATCACACTAATCATGCCACAGGCGAGCGTGCTCAGCAACGCGCGTGGCGTGTCGAGCTTCGGGCAGCTGACGCAGGGCGAGCCTGACAACAGGGACGTGGGCGCCAAGCTGCAGCTGCTGACGCTGCACTTCCCCAGACTGCGGCTGCTGTGGTGCTCCTCGCCCTACGCCACCGCAGAGATGTTCCAGCTCCTCAAGGTCCCAGTCATGATGCTCATAATAAAAGAGGGCTAAGTTAAAGATGAGGGAATTGTTGGCCTCGGTTTTCAATTATCACCTATGATTTTGTTTTTAAATTTAATGATGGTAAGATTTTGAATTGGGGAGAGTTCATTTCAATCAATAATTACGCATTTCATTTGGTCTTTATTTTCCAGCATTAGAACTAGAATTTCTGAGGTATCGATCAAATAAGCTTTGTATTATTTTCCGTAGACATTATAGATCTCTTATTGAGTGGAATCGAACTTTCTAAAATACCTATCAGCGAAAATAAATATTAGCTACTTACAACGCCCACTCGAGTACATTATGCAAGGTCACAGTTCAAGTCACACTCATATCTTGTATCTGCTGTCGTTGCAAACATTGAAATGAATTTTTATTCGGCGCTTATATTTCTTTCTGGAATTTATTGTCAGAAAAACCTAATGAGCAATTGTCCTGTCTAAGCTTTGAAATTTTGGTGATGAAGGTAATTGATTTATTTCCTCTCTATAGATAACAGTTATCAAACACACATTATCATTGATCATTATTGTCATGTAGTTCCTCTCAATAGACAACAGTTATCAAACACACATCATTATTGTGGTGTAGTTCCCTGTCAACAGATAACAGTTATCAAACAAACATCATTATTGTGATGTATTTCCTTATTTCATTTCAATAGATAACAGTTATCAAACAAACATAATTTTCAATATTTACAGTTAGTTCTCTCTTACGCGCCATGAACGCAGGTTGGTAAGCAGGAGCCTGACGTGGCGACGGCTCAGGCCATCAAGAGCGACGGTTGCCCTCTCGACACCGTTGAGAAATACAACCCTGCTATTTATGTTAGTTAACCCCCCTCTTCTATGATATATTGTGCAATTTTTATTTTAATCGATTATCTTATTAATTAACTAATTCCATTATTACTTTTAATTATTATGTGAATATTATGAAAATATTGTTAGTTGTCTAAAAAATTAGTTATTCTCCTGTGTACAAACTTCAAATGGAGAAATTCGTAGGTATGTAATGCATTATGGATATGTCTATTTACAGTAACTAGTGGAACGTGTATCGGCATTTTGATCTATGTTTTTTATCCAATACCGCGAATCAAAATGCAAGATTTTATGATTAAAATGAATCGGTTTACATTTCGTGGGAAGTGAAAAAAGTTTCTTAACTCCAGGTATTATCCCAGTTCCAAGTTATAGATTTATTTATAATGCCTTTACTTATGATCAAAGTACCAAGTTAGAGATTTATTTACAATACCTATACGTATAATCTCAGTCTCAAGTTGAAGATTTATTTAAAATGCCTGCATGCATTATCTCAGCACCAAATTAAAGCTTGATTCGTTTACCGTCACGCTTTTCGGCCGCCAGGATTTCATGTCTAAGCTGCCAGGCGTGACGACGAAGAACATCGACAGACTACTGAGCAAAGTGGTGGACCTCCCGACGCTGCTCACGCTCAGCCAGGATGCCATCAGTGACATCTTAGGCAACTCTGCTCACGCGGGGCAGCTGCATGCCGCCCTACACGCCACCCTCAGGAGGGACGACATCGAGCAGGACGTCAGCAAAGGGCGTGGCGGCAGGGGCAAAACTCGCCGCGGGTTGCCCAAATTTCACAAATAATCTCCGACGCTCTCACCACGTACGCAGCACAGTGCGAGCGTTCATATTGTTGAGTGTGATCTCATATTCTAGAGCGCTGTAGTATTTTCTTGCCTCTAAGCAGGTGTCATTTTTGTTTCGAATAATATTTTTACAAAATTTTTCTAATTCATTGACTACTCCTGCACCTAGACCCTCATCAAGTATTTCTCTAATTAATCCAGGAGAAATATAACTTTTTAATGAGTATACAAAAGGAAGGTGAATGAAAAACTTCAATTTTGGTCTTCATGTCTTTATGAATTGACAATCTTAATACAAAAATAAGAGACAGAATACAATAAATAATGCCAGATTATAACTAGCACGAAGGTAGAGGCCTAGTCAGCGTCTCTCTTCCTCTTGGGTATGACCGTGGGAGTGCTACCGCCGTCCTCGTTCTTGATGTGAATCACTCCAACGGCGCCCGGCGATACTTGAAATTTTGGTACCACATCACCTGTCATATCAATACAAGTTCAACGCCACAATAAATCCTCGTAAGAAGTTTCATCTTAAAATTGTTAGGATAGACAAGAAAATTGCGATAAACCAACATCATAAAACAGCTACCATGATGATTCGTGTACAGCGCTGCTAAGTCTCAAGTCGTATTTATGGACGGAATTCGCAGGCACGCCTAACTTATCATTACTATGATCTTAGAGTTCATGAGCTCAGTCATTATTAGATTAAAACAACTTTTTTCGTCGTCTATTGCTTTGACAACGAGTTCCGCTCCCTTCCACACAAATACACAACTGATCCCATACATAAATAAAGGACATCACCAACCTGGTGGCCCAGACGTGACTTTAATCAAAGGCCTGTTGACGGTGACAATTTTGTGTGGCGGTCCCGTGGTGACGACCGTGTGCTGCTTCTGTACGAGCGTGACGGTCTGCTGCGCGCTGCTAGACTTGGTCGTCACCACAGACACCGCCGGCTTCACGGCCGCGCCAGCGGTGACCGCCTTAGACGCGCGCGTCACGCTCTGATAAAACATGTCGCAAGAATCAACATCTCAACTATGCATTATTACACCTCATATTTTGTTACGAAGTTCGAATATTGATGCTTTGATACGAAATTAGGGCTGAAAATTAAAATTTGACGCGGAAATTAATGCTAATGTACGAACTAAATGAATTTAAAATACTTTCATTGTTATTTTTAACACGTTTTTCTTAGCTTAGCTTCGCGTTTGTTTGTTTGTTTGTTTGTTTTTTATTATTATATCACTCTTCCATGCTTTATAAAATAAATAGCTACATTACATCAATTCGAAAATGTTATCTGACAAATCAAGTCAATTCCATGTACGCGGACATGGAAGACTTCGATTTTTCCATTAAATGCAGGGAAGTACCGTAGGTGTTTATCCTAATGATGTTCGTAGTCCATACGCATCAAAGGTGGGAGTAGGTCGATGTGGAGGATAGAGCAACTTCCAAACTAAAGAGATGGTACATATTGAGATAGCGTTCCAGCCCATACTTCAAGTGATTGTTGCAGCAACATCATGTGTTGCAGAATGCATGCTTAGCATCACGGAAGAAATTACTTAAGTCGGACAAATGTAGGTGCTTGCCAGTGGCACCCACGATGAAACCAAGAATACATTGGATTTGATGAAATATAAATTTTAAATTGAATTTGACTCTGCCCGGGGGATGACAGACACTCTGCCTGGGCAGATATATACTCTGCCCGGGGGATGACAGACACTCTGCCTGGGCAGATATATTCCAGCCCATACTTCAAGTAATAGTTAGCGTTCCAGCCCATACTTCAAATAATAGTTAGCGTTCCGTCCCATACTTCAAGTAATAGTTGCCACAACATCTTGTGTTGCAGAATGCACGCTTAGCATCATGGAAGAAATACTTGAGAAGTCGTACAAATGTAGGTCCTTAATTGCCAGTGACACTAACGATGAAACCAAGAATCCATGGGATTTTATGATATATAAATTTTAAATTGAATTTCCTGACATCCACTTTGATGGCTGCTTAGCCTACACCCTACATCTTATCTTCACAAATTCAACAAAATAAAATTCGCTGAAAGTTATCAACGCAACTGCAACATTGGCGTAAAATGCACTAATGTAAGAAACTCGTAGCATTGTTTCTCTTACAGCGTTCCGTCCCATACTTCAATTCAACGAAGAAGTAAATTGGTTAACAGTGTACTAAGTTAGACGCAGAATATCAGGGCCCATACTTTCATAAACAGAGATGTATCTACTACACGTTCATTGTCATCATTAAAGCTTCATGTTCAAACAAGTCTGGGTTCACTTATCTCCGCTATTCCGTTCGAAGGTAAAGGATTGATTAAATAGGGATTTTAAAGAGAATATTTTCTATATATAGAGAGAGAGAGACGTTTCCTATCGTCTCATATCTTTTAAAGTTGGGTGAATCGGAGTGATAACTCCACCAAATTTACGTTACGTTCAGGTTCAGGTTCAAGATACCGGTATTCATTACTTATCGTTTTGTCAGGTGGTTGCCGAGTGGCACTTGATAATTGGCACGATGAAAAGGTTCTCTTTTAAATCCCTATTTAATCAGGATATTGAATGAAGAAGTGAACGAACTTTCCTCTTGTTTTATAAAATGTTGGTGTATTTTTCAAGCCCCGGCCACCTGATGCTGACGCCATAACTACTGTCGAATGATACCTTAAAACCGGGATTAGATCTCGAATAATAATTCAAACAAAACCTCTCGTGTCATTGAAAAGTAGAAAAGAAGTTTAATCGAGAAGATAATTTCGAATTATGTGTAGTTATTCATTTCTCCGCGAACTTTATTGTACAGAAATAGAGGGCGGAACCTCGTGTGAACTTGCCGACTACCGCGGTCGGGTTCCGACATGCAGGTCTTGATACAATATTTGAAATGTTCATCTGAAATGAACTTGCCAATTCAGGTACTAGAGCAAGTTACTTCAAGCATAAAATCATGTCACAACCAAGTGCATCAGCCAAAAGTACTTTATAATAGAATAGAAGTGTCGGCATTGAAGAAATAGGCCCATGGCCTGTTGCCGATTCTTGAACTTTTCGTGACTTGATTCACACGGGATCCGGACTTTTGAACCCGATCTTTCCATAACTGACGATTGATTGAGATAGTGGTACTTTCAACTGATACTCCTTCATCCACTCTAGCAGACGAAATAAATCAACAACGACAACTTAAGCGAGTTGGCGCTCGTGGCCCACGACATTAACCTGGCTGAAGGTCTGGTGGATAATCAATGTGTCACAGCAGATGCATCAATTCAATACCTGCTTCATTTTCTGTGTCAAAATTAAAACAAAACAAAAATAAAGTTAAAAAAAAATGATACAAAAGACTGTATAACCCCTTTTTAATCACTGTCAGTGACTAACGCGAGGCCATAAAAAGTGTTTGATATAAACTCGCTATCAATTGGACTGCACAAAGGATCATCAAATCTAAACAAACGGCTGATGGAATACCATGAATAATTTCTAGAAGGGCTAGAGATTGTACGACTCCATGAAGAGGTCAGGGGCCATACTTTCAAACTCGCTAAGTGAACGTAAGTACTTACGCTCTAATTTCTTGTCTATGATTGGTGGATTTTTGCTTGAAAGGCCGTCAATGATTGGCTGATGAACTTACGATCTCTTAACTTTTTTTGTAGTGTAGGAGAGTGTGTCGGTCCCAGTCTTATGTCTAGAGCAAACTCCCTGAAGATATTGTTGACGCTCCGAGTATGAACGCGTTCAAGAACAGACTAGACAAGGCCATGCATGAGCATATGTTTCGTATGAACGCGTTCAAGAACAGACTAGACAAGGCCATGCATGAGCATATGTTTAGTCTTAAAATGCCTCGTACCCTACGGAACAACTGATATCTTGAAACGACTTTAAACCTACCGTTCGTTGAAAAGATTTTATCAAAAGGCCAGTCTAGTCAAGAAAAGCACAAGAATCGGCGACAGGCCTATCCAGGCCTACTCTTTAATGCCGAAGATACTATACTATACTACTGTACTACACTATACCATACTATACTAAACTCACCCTGGGCGTCTTCTTCATTTTATAGTTGCAGGCGGAGAGGCAGTAGCGGTCAGGAGGCATCCGCAGTCCGCACTGTGGTTTGATGGCGGGCAGAGGATTGCTGTTGCGGGTCCGAGCTAAATCCAGCAGCAGCTGCACAAAAATTTCAGTGCCAAGTTCAATGGGTGAAAATTTGGTCTGAATAATAAACAAAGTGAGTTATGTCAGTGACGTACAAACTATGTATGAAAATAATGCAACACATAAGCTACAACAAAGTGAACAAACTACATTCGGATACGCCTTTTAAGTACGATATATTTAATGTTAGATTAATATACACAAAAATCTCTTATTCGCCGCAACATATGTTGCTATTAAAGACAGCCGCTCAAGTAATTCATCCTCAACGAAAAAAGTAAATTCGTTAACAGTGTACTAAGTTAGACGCAGAATATCAGGGCCCATACTTTCAAAAAAAGTTAAGAGATCGTAAGTTCATCAGCCAATCATTGACGGCCTTTCAAGCAAAATCCACCAATCACAGACAAGAAAATAGATCGTAAGTACTTACGTTCACTTAATCATAGACAAGAAAATAGAGCGTAATTACTTACGTTCACTTAGCGAATTTTGCAAGTATGGCCCTTGAATTAGCGTGTCACTCACATCTCTAGGCGGAGGCGCCGTGTATGATCGGTCGACCTGCATCTGCACGGCAAGCTTCACGTCCTCCACCTCGACCGTCTTGGCCTTCTTAGCGTAGTTGGCGAAAGCTCTGGCGTCGTCCAGCACTTGTGTCACATATCCTGCACGATATCAAACTATCTTCATACTTATTTAAGCGGCCTGCACGATATCAAACTATCTTCATACTTATTTAAGCGGCCGGGGTTACGGTTACACAACTTAGATCAAACTATCTTGATTCTGTTTAAGGGGCCGGGAACGGCTACACTGTTAGAAAAAACGGTCCCACTGGCATTCTAGTGGCCGGTCGCCCCGTGAAAATAAACTGTTTCGCCGTTTTTATCAGATGTTTCACGGATTTCTCGTGTTAAATTAGAATAAAAACGACGACTCGGTGTTTCTTTTCACGTGCCGACCGGCCACTGAAACGCCGGTAATACCGTTAACGGTAATTTTTCCAACAGTGTACATAACGTAGATGGATGATCTTAAAATAGACCATCACCTCACATGTATACCGATATTCAAATCGAACATAGAATCGAAATTGAACACGGAACAAGTTAGTTAGTTTAGTGGTCAAATGTGCACTAGCGCTTCAGCTAGTTAGCTATCTCGCAAGGAAAGTCAAGATGAACAGCACCAAAGACGTGAAAGTTTTCAGCTAGCGAAAGTTTCTTGAATCAAAAAATGGTTCATCACCCACAAGGGGCGGAAGGTCTCAGTATCCAGCTCGCCGAAGCTGGCTATAAAGAAGCAGCGTTAGCATCTCAAAGAGACGAAGTGACAAGGAGGGACAGGTGACAAGGAGGGACAGGTGACAAGGAGGGACAGGTGACAAG